TTGTAGCTGAATGTGTGGGCAGAACAAAAGGCTAGAGGAGCAATAGCAGAGTGGTAGTTATTTGCCTTTCACATGGCCAAAGGGTTCGATCCCCAGCATCCCTTAAGTTGCCCCGAGCACCACCAGAAATAATTCCTTAGTGCAGAGCCAGGAGGAACCCCTGAGCATCGTTGGCTGTGGGCCTCTCCCCCTAAAGACAGAAAAAAGAAAGAAAAGGCTAGAGAGGACTGGAGAGATGATACAGCGGGAATGGCTCTTTTCCTTCCAAATGACTGATCTGGGTTTAATGCAGAACCAGGAATAAACCCCGAGCACCACTGTGTGTGGTCCCAAAACAAAAATAAAAACAGTAAAAGCAAACAACAATTGGGGCTGGAGCAATAGCACAGCGGGAAGAGCGTTTGCCTTGCACGCAGCCGACCTAGGTTGGATTCCCAGCAACCCATATGGTCCCCCAAGCACCGCCAGGATTAATTCCTGAGTGCATGAACCAGGAGTAACTCCTGTTCTTTGCCGGGTGTGACCCAAAAAGAAAAAAAAAAAAGCAAACACAATTAAAATTAAAGACCAATCTCCCCACCCCACCCCTTTTTTTTATTTTGAGCCTTCACCTGGATGCTCAAGCATATTCCTGGTTCTTCGCTCAAGAGTAGCCTCTGGTGGTCAGTAAACCATAAGTGGTATGTGGATTTGAACCCAGGACAGCTGTTTGCAAGGCAACTGTTGTATATTTACTTATTTCTTTGGTCATTCCTGGTGGTGCTCAGGGGCACTGCTTCTGGGCCAGTGCTGGGGGCACCATATGGTACCAGGGATAGAACCCCAGATCCTGCATACAAAGCTTGCACTTCCAGTCCTTTGAATCATCTGCCTTGGCCCCCACCCAAAGCCCATTCTTTGAAGGAACCCCAGCTCTGCAGGGGTGTGGGGGAACACTCCCAAGCTCAGGAGAGCAAAGGACATGTACTTCCTGCATTGATTTTGATTTACCACAACGAAGATGAGTTGGATGAATATAAAAAGCAGCAAGCATGGGCTGGGGAGATGGCTCAAAGGACCACCTTCCAGTCCCCTGGACACCTCTGGAAGCGCCTTCCCAAGCACTGAAAAGTCAGGGCTGAGTGACAGTACAGAGGACAGGATGTTTGCCTTGCACACAGCCAACCTGGGTTTGATTCCCGACATCCCATAAGATCCCCTGAGCACGGCCAGGAGTAACCTTTAGGCACCACCAGCAGTAACCTGAGTAACCCCATGTGTGACCCCAAACAAAAACAAGCACTCACCTAGTTAAGTAGTTTTCTTTATCACTTTGAAGGTTTGTCTTTACCTATTTTCACTGGCTGACCTGAGCCCCATGTCCGGTAGTAAAAATCAGTCCCAGGGAGAGTCTGCCACCTAGCGGTCAGTATGATAACAGCAGCTTTACTGAAACTTTTTTTTTTTTTTTTTTTTGGTCACACCGTGCTATGGCGCAGGGGTTACTCCTGGCTTTGCACTCAGGAATCACTCCTGGCGGGGCTTGGGGGACCTTACGGGATGCTGGGAATCGAACCTGGGTCAGCCGCATGCAAGGCAAACGCCCTATCGTTGTACTATCGCTCCAGCCCCTATTGAAACAATTTTTAAAATTTTTCAGTGCAGGGGCTGGAGCGAAAGCACAGCGGGTAGGGTGTTTGAGCATCGCCAGGAGTGATTCCTGAATGCAGAACCAGGAGTAACCCCTGTGCATTACGGGTGTGACGCAAAAAAAAAAAATTCAGTGCAGGGGCAGGAGCGATAGCACAGCAGGTAGGGCTTTTGCCTTGCACGCAGCCGACCTGGGTTCGATTCCCAGCATCCCATATGGTCCCCCGAACCCCGCCAGGAGTAATTCCTGAGTGCATGAGCCAGGAGTAACCCCTGTGCATCGCCGGGTGTGACCCAAAAAGAAAAAAAAAGTTTCAGTGCAGTTTACTATCAGTAAAAATAGAAAACATAAAATAAGACATAATCAGGCAAGTGTCTTAACCCCTTTACAATATCTCCAGGTCATCAGCTTCTCGAGTAGGGTTTTTATTACTGGGTAACTTTAGTCAAATTCTCTTGCCAATTAGCATCAACCACATTTATTTGGAATTAATTAAAAAAATTATTCAAGACTCTTTTTGGTGAGAGATCATTGTACTCCACATATTTTATTTGGCAAGAGTTATTAAGTTGTTTGAGAAAGTCAGGAAATAATTGGGCTTTTCACATATCTGAGATAAACTGAGTGAATGAGTCATTTTGTATGGAAATAGAAAGCTCTTAGGCTCTAGCACAATAAGGTGGTGTACTAATCACTTATGAATGACAACACACTTTGCTTAGCAATCATCACCCTCTCCCGTGCGGCTTTCTTTCTTTACTTGGTCCTGCTGGTCACAATTAGGGACATCCACCACATTTAAACATGCTGTGAGGCCACACCTATAGTGCTCAGTCCAGGGGCAAGCCCATGTACATTTACAAAAATTCACTATGATTTTTGCCCTACAGTGGGTAGGGCACTTTCCTTGCTACGTTTGATTCCTGACATCATACACAGTACCCTGAGCCTCTCCAGGAATGATCCCTGAGCACGGAGCCAGGAGTAATTCCTGAGCACCACTGGGGTAGCCCAAAAGAAACAAACATGGGGCTGGAAAAATAGTACAGCAGGTAGGTGCTTGCCCTGCACGTAGCTGACCTTGCTAGCACCAACTAAAGCCATTCCCGAGTGCAGAGTCAGGAGTAACCCCTAAATATCACTGGATCTGACCCCCCCAAGTCAAATAAAAACAACCAGCCGAACAACTAACCACATACACACACACTGGGGGATAAAATAAACTAAAAAATAAACCTGTACCTGCAGGGAGCTAACTCAAATGGCTGGAATATATACTTTACATGAAGGAAACCTGGGTTTGATCGCTGGCACCACGTGGTCTCCAAAGTACCGCTGGGTGTGATTCTGGAGCACTGCGTCTGGAGTATGCTCAAGCACACCCACATGTTCACATTCCTGGGGGCTACCCCCTAGCAATACTAGGGAATGTAGCTAGTATTAGTATATAAATTAACCTTTCCCCTGCTTCCTTGCTGTTAATAGGTAAGAGGAACATTTAGAAAAGCAAAGGCTTAATGAGCTATGGCTATTTTGGCAAATGTATTCAGAAAGTCATGAATAATATGGAGATCAAACCTGGAGCCTCATTCAAGGGCTGTGCTGAGGTGGGGAATTCTGTTTTCCTGGCCCATGAAATCATACACAAAGACACACATAGGGGTCTTAGATGTTTATTTTTTAAAAGTTGGTGTACACACACATCCACAACACACATACTTCTCCTGCTTTCCTCCTCTAGCCTGAGGTGTTTAATCCTACACATTCTTTTTCCATGGAACCTCTCCAGCCATGGTATGTTTTCACCACAGTTTATTCAATTACTCCCTTGCTGGGGTTCATTCACACTATTTTTTTTTAAAGTCCCTGACAAAAATACAATACACACTGATAAAAATATCTTAAGTACTGGCACTTTCTTCCCTTAGGAATAACTTCCCAGGATTGAAATTCTTGGAATGAAGGATGTAAACTTTTTAATTTGGGGGCCATATCTGGCTCTGCACTCTGGGAACACCCCTGGCAGGCTCAAGGAACCCATACGTGGTGCTAGGGATAGAAAATGGGTGGGCTAGACTGGAGCCATAGCACAGCAGGTAGGGCTTTTGCCTTGCATGCGGCTGACCCGGGTTCAATTCCCAGCATTCCATATGGTCCCCTGAGCACTGCCAGGAGTAATTGCTGAGTTCAGAGCCAGGAGTAATCCCTGTGCATTGCCAGGTGTGACTCGAGAAGCAAACAACAACAACAACAACAACACAACAACAACAAAAAACAAAAACGATGGGCTATGTGCAAGGCAAGCACCCTATACATTGTACTCTCTCTCTGGCCCCAAGGTGTATATATTTTTAATGTAAAAAGAGTCATAATTTCCAAGGAGGTTGGCCACAATGTGCCTTTATAAAAACAATATTAACAATTAACCTTTTCCCCAGCTTCCTTGCTGTTAACAGGGAAGAGGAACATTTAGAAAGACAAGTCTTAGTGAACTATGGATATTTTGGCAAATGTATTCAGAAAGTCACATTCACCAATAGTTACAGCATATCAGTGGTCTTAAATTTGAAGAAAAAAAGGCAGTGGCAGGGGAGCTGGCTGAGGACTAGAATGCAGACTTTGCACATGGGTTTAATACCCAGCACGCATGGTCCCTAGCACTGCTGTGTGTGACCCTCCCTGCCAAGCACACCTTAAAAACAAGCAGAGGGGCCGGAACGACAGCACAGCGGGTAGGGCGTTTGCCTTGCACGCGGCTGACCTGGGTTCGATCCCCGGCATCCCATGTGGTCCCTCAAGCACCACCAGGAGTAATTCCTGAGTGCAGAGCCAAGAATAACCCCTGAGCATCGCTGGGTGTGACCCAAAAAGCAAAAAAAAAAAAAAGCCAGTTACCATTATTGTTGGCAATTCTAATATAATTTATGAGGGATGAGGTGAGGTGGACTCTCATCATTTGAAATCGTTTAATATGGTGTATTATTTTTGCGTCATACCCATGCAGTGTTGGGGATTGAATAGAAGGCATGTGGAGAAGTATCATCTGAAATATGTAAACAAAACAAAATATTATTTTGGATTTTTTTTGGGGGGGAGAACCAAACTCAGCAGTGCTCAGGGGACCGTATGTGGTGCTAGTGATTGAACTGTGGTCAGATATGTAAAAGGCAAGCCCTCTACCCTCTGTACTGTCTGCCCAACTCCAGCAAAACATTTTTAAGCGGTTAACCATCAAACACTACATGTAGAGGTCACTGAATAGTCTAATTTTATTTATTTTTTTAAAATCTTTTTGGGTCATACCCAGCAGAGCTTAAAAATTACTCCTGGATCTGCACTCAGAAATTACTCTTGGTGGTGCATGGGGTGACGATATGAGATGCCAGGGATCGAACCTGGGTTGGCTCTGTGCGAGGCAAATGCCCTACTCACTGTGCTATCACTCTGACCCCAAGAAGTCTAGTTTTAGTGTTTGTGATTCTTTAAAATACTTTAAATACACTCTCAGGCTTCAAAGAGAAATTCTTTGAAGACTCAAGGAAGTGGAAATGCCTACTTTAAATAGAAAATAGCAGATTTTTATTTCTAAAATAAAATGTGGACATTTAAAAAGGTAACATATTTAATGAGTTTCTTAAAATTTTGCTCTAAATTATCTGAAATATCATACATGGGAACTATTTTTGTATCCTACTTTCTGCAAGACAATTCATAAAATTCATGAAGTATGAGAGAAATGAGAAATACACAAAAATACAAACCGTTCTGAGTTATAAATGTTTGGACACAAGTCATGCATATTTGTAAGGAAATACCCCACCAACGGGTGGAAGCGGCTGAGATGTAGGTCTTCTCCTCAGAGCCATTTCCATCAGGTGGTGCCATACAGGCCACAGCTGCCACCTTTCACTCTCCGAATCTCTTAATTACATCATATTTGCATATTTGTGCAAATGCCAGCAAATCCTCCACCTAGGTTAAAGTGTCAACGGAGTCTTCTGTCTACTCAAGATGCAGCACCACCCTGTGGCGCCCTCCAGCAGTAGGGAGGACATCTTCCAGGTACCGAAAAGACCCTCAGACACTTCATTTGGAATGCATACTGGGTTGTAAAGGGTACTGAAGAACACAGGACATCAGGTATAAAAGTTTTGCTTGATGTGTCCTAATCATCACAGGACAAAGCTTTCCAATTCTCGGCGACTGTAAACCCTCATATGCAAATCAACACACAATTTGCATTTTTGTGACATAATTTAACACAGCCACTACATTCCAAGGGTACAGTTTGTAGATCCTCTATGCCAATTCCCAGAATATTTCATTCTTAAATAAATCAAGAATTTGGAAAGTTTGTAAAACAGCTAGGCATGGCTGTTTATATCCTGATATGTACTCTTTAGCCATTTACTCAGATATGTACTATATCTGACTTCAGTATCATATTCTTTTCTATTTCTTAGTTTACAGACCATATCTCGTTGTGAATTTCTGTGTTTCTTCAGTACCTTCCTGAGGTTTCTCCTCCAGGGAAGGTGGCAGTCTCAGGGTTTGTCCCCTATGTGAACTCTCTGATGGACGCTGAGCCGAGACTTGCGGCTGAAGGCCTTCCCGCACTCCGAACACTCGTAGGGTTTCTCTCCCGTGTGAATTCGTAAATGCAGTCTGAGAGTTGACCTCTGGCTGAATGTCTTACCACATTCAGTACATTCATACGGCTTCTCTCCTGTGTGTGTCCTCATGTGTATAATAAGTTGTGAGTTCTGGATAAAGGACTTTCCACATTCACTGCACTCATAGCGTTTCTCCCCTGTGTGAATTTTCTGGTGGATGATTAGGTTTGATTTCTTGAAGAAAGTTTTTGCACATTCACTGCACTCATAGGGTCGCTCTCCTGTGTGAATTCTCTGGTGCGTGGTAAGTTCAAACTTCTGGGCAAAGGTCTTGCCACATTCACTGCACCCATAGGGCTTCTTTTCCATGTGTGCCCTCTGGTGTACGATGAGGTTTGACTGGTGAGTGAAAGCTTTTCCACATTCAAGGCATTCAAAAGGCTTCTCCCCGGTATGAATTCTTTGATGTTTAATGAGGTTTGCCTTATGGGAGAAGGTTTTCTTACACACGTTACATTCATAAGGCTTTTCTCCAGTATGTATTCTCTTATGACTAATAAGGAGTGATTTAAAGGAAAAAGCTTTGTCACAATAATTACAAATAAAGGGCTGCACCAAATTTCTAATCTTCTGATGTTTAAAAATGGCTTCTTTATGACTGAAGGCTTTCTCAATTTTATTATAATCAGAGTATTCCACTCCAGAATGGGTTTTCTCTTGCTTCAGATAGACGAGTGCTTTCCCAAACCCATCATACTCATTGTCAGTTTGCTTTCTTAGATAGCTTTTATTACTATTAAGTAATTCTGAGTTGTACTTCAAGGACTTTTCATATAAGTCGTATTTATAGGGTACCTGTCTTAAAGAAACAAAGTCTGTGCTGAGATCAAATGTTTTCTCAGAGAGGTCACCTCTGTTCTCAATTGGGCTTTGATTCTTGAGGATGACAGATTGTCTTGCCTGCTCATCTGGGTTTCTGTGCTTCCTCTCCACCTGGTCATCAGCCTTCCATACTTCTAGGAAAGAACACGTGAACATTACAGAAGGTGAATGCTCTACCACGAAGACTCGGGTTTTATTTGTGACCTGAACTTCCAATATTAAAAGTCGCCACTGCAGGTCATGAAGATAGCATATGGGTTAAGGAACTCACTCAGCTTGTAGCAATGCAGGTTCAATCCCTAGAACCACACATGTTCTCCTAAGCACTGCCACCAGTGGGCCCCAAGTAACACCTGTATGGCCCCAAATCAAACCTCTACCCAAACATGCACAAAAAGTCCCCCCTGGCTTTTAAATTTTGATAGCTGCTGATCTTTCATCGAATAAAGGGTTAGTATCCAAGATTTATAAAGCATGGTAAAACTGTACAAGAAAACAATATTCAACCAAATGAAAAAACAGGAAGAAGAGATAAACAGAAATTTCCGCAAAGAAGAAATACAATGGTCAAAAGGCATAAGAGAAAATGCTCTGGATCCTTAATCACCAGGGAAATGCAAATCAAATCAACAATGAGATATCTCTTCACACCTCAGGCACTACTGCACATATCAAAAGGAGCAACAGCAACCAGTGTTGGTGAGAAAGTGGGAGAAAAGGGACTGTCCTTCACTGCTGGTGGGAAGGATAACTGATTCAGTTTTTGGGAAAACAACATGTACATTCCTCAGAAAACTAGGAATTGAGCTTCCACATGCCCCAGGAATTCCACATCTTGGAATATACCCCAAGGGCCCAAAAACACAAAGCAGAAAAGACCTCAACTCTCCTATGTGCCTTGTAGTACTAATTACAAGAACCAAAATCTGGAAACAACCCAAGAGCCCAAGAACAGATGACTGGGTATAGAGGTTATGGTGCAAATACACAGTGGAATACTACTCAGCTGTAAGAAAAGATGAAGTGGGGGTTGGAGTGACAATACAGAAAGAAGGGCGCTTGCCTTGTATGCAGCTGACCCAAGTTCAATCCCGGTAAGGCATATGGTTCCCCAAACCTACTGGGAGTGATCCCTGAATGCAGAGCCAGGAGTCAGCCCTGAACATTATCAGATGTGTTCTCCAAAAAAGATTAAGTCATGCAATTTGCTGATACATGGGTGGATCTGAAGAGTTATCAGGCCGAGTGAAATGAGTCAGAGGAAGAGGAACAGACAGAATCTCTCTCATATGCAGATAACCAGAAACATAGCAGGGAACTAATCCCCAAGACAATAGAAACAAAGAGCAAATCTGGCCCTGAGGAGGAAGTCCTCCACTGGGAAAGAAAAGGATAAGTCAGGGTAAGGACCATTACACAAAGATAGAGGAAAGTAGTCACTTTGGGATGAGGACTGGGTGCTGAAAGGGGTAAAGTCATACACATTATACTCTATCAGTAACAGTATTGTAAATAACATTGTCCAAAAGGAAAAAAGAAAAAGGAAAAAGTGCCTGTCATATAGGCAGGCTGGAGGCAGGAGGGAAACTAAGGACACTGGTGGAAGAAAGCAAATACCGCTGAAGGGATTGGTGTTGGAACATTAAGGTAAAGGTAAAGGCCCTCCCGTTGATCATCGATTTGCTCGAGCGGGCCCAGTAACGTCTCCATTGGAGACTTTGTTGTTACTGTGTCTGGCATATCGAATACTCTCGGTAGCTTGCCGGGCTCTCCGAGAGGGGCGGAGGAATCGAACTCGGGTCGGCCATGTTGGCTGCTTGTAAGGCGAACGCCCTACCGCTGTGCTATCGCTCCAGTTGGAACATTACACACCTGAAAACTAATCATTAGGGCCTGGAGCAATAGTATAGCAGATAGGGTGTTTGCCTTGCATGTGGCTGATCTGGGTTAAATCCTGGTATCCCATATGGTCCCCGAGCATCTCCAGGAGTAATTCCTGAGTACAGAGCCAGGAATAACCCCTGAGCATCACTGGTGTGATCAAAAAAATTTAAAAAAAGTAAAACAAAGACAAAAACAACCCTAATTATTAATCACTTTGAAACCTTGTAATTCATGGATACAAGTCACACTGCCAGACTGCCAGTAGTCCCTTCATACTACTGGGTGTTGTAGCCATCAAGATGAAAAACAGATAAATGTGTTAGGGACAATTATACAGGCATTTCAGAGTTTAGCACCAACTCTCTGACTCTGAATTCCAAGGGTAAGATCAACCCCTATTCTACATGCCCCCTTCTCTCCACTCTCATCTATCCCAAGTAACTTCCTAAAAACAGTATTTCTTACTGGCTTTCAAGGCTCCAAATCTCTAAAGTAAGACTTATGCAAATGGATGGAAATATCCAGAAACTAATTCTTCAATATCCTCACAACATAATCAATTACTATTACCAGCGCAGGATTCACCATTTTCTTCTGAAACTGTTGGAGAATGTGCTTTTACTATCACATTCTAACTCTCTCCATCTAATGTGTTTAATTTCTTCCCAAACCATCTGAAGAGATCATTGGATCAAATTATTTTACTATTATTATTTAAATCCCAACCAAGGACTTAAATAGTCTTTAGTTTCATCTATGTATTGTATTTCTTTTAAATCTATGTATAATCTATGTATTATTCTTTTAGTCCAGTGGCTGTCTTCAAATCTCATTATGTGTCCAGCTGATCTGATTTTCGATGCCTTGGCAAACGAGACAACGTCCCTGATTCTTGACCGTGGACGGAGGTCGGAACTCCAGATTTTCTCTGATTTGAGTGAAACGTGATACTCCAATCATAGCTCTTTCAATTCCTCTTTGGGAGACCCGAATAGAGTTCTGATCCTGTTTTCGTAGGGCCCAGGTCTCTGAGGCATATGTTAATGCAGGAGGAACAGTGGAATCGAAGAGATGTGCCTGGAGCCGGAGGTTCTTCATCCTCTGAGCTATTTCTTCGACGCTGCTCTCTTCCTCCTGCGCAACTCAGGTACCAGGTCATTTGTCATGTGGACTTCTCGACCTAGGTACACATAACTGTTACATTCTGAGATGGTCATTCCATTGAGAGCGAATGGAGTGTCAGGAACGAGACTGTTTCTCATAAACTTTGTCTTCGTGAGATTTAGCTGGAGTCCGACCTTTCCACACTCAAGATCGAAAGTCGGCCAGCATTTGTGCCGCTTGGCTAATATTTGATGTTATTAGAACGATGTCATCAGCAAAGCGGAGTTGGTGTAGTTGCCGACCATCTATCTTCACTCCCATTCCTTCCCATTCCAGTCGTCACATGACATTCTTGAAGGTGGCACTGAAGAGTTTCGGTGAAATGGTATCACCCTGCCGAACCCCTCTCTTGACATCAATGATCACTTCTTTGTAGGATGGTGAAATCCTGGTAGTGAATTCATAATACAGCTCACAGAGGATCCTGATGTATTGAGTATGAATGCCCTGATTGGCTAGGGCTTTGATGACCGCTTCCATCTCAAGAGAATCAAAGGCCTTCTTTAAATCAATGAACGTTAGACAGAGCAGCATCTTGAACTCTCAAGAAACCTCAATGAGCTTGGTTACTGTGTGCTGAATCCCTTGGGGAACCTGGCTTGCTCGCATGGTTGTCCTTCATCTAGTGTTATGCCAATCCTATTCAGGATAACTAGAGTGAACAGCTCGTAGATGACAGACAACAGGCAGATTGGGCGATAGTTGCCAATGTCGTGAATGTCTCCCTTCTTGTACAGTAGTACAGTACTGCTGGTTTTCCATTGGGATGGAACCTTGCATTCAGACAGGTAGTGCATGAAGAGCTGAGCCAGTATATTGATGAGTACTGACGGCAGGTTCTTCAGGTGTTCAGGTCTGACCCTGTCTGGGCCAGGTGCTGTTCATTTCTTTACCTATGAAATGGTGTGTCGGATTTTGGAAGAGAGAACGTTGGGAACGACATATCCATCTTGCGGAATTGATATGTGGGCAGGCAGACATGGCTATCAAAGAGATCTGAGTAGAAGTCATGGATAATCTTCTCCATTGCCCTTCTGGAAGATGTGATAGATCCATCAGGACGTCGGAAGGCATTCATCTTGGTCTTACAGTTGGCGAAGGACAGGCGAGCGTTACGAATGCTTTTCCCAGCTTCTGCCGCATCTACCAGCACTGCTACTCTTTTCTCTTTGAGGTCTACCTTTATTGCATCTCTGCACTACTTTGAGAGCTCTGACGTTCACTTGCGGTTCCCTGAGGCATGCGACAAACCACGTTGGCGAATAAGCTCAAGAGTTTTTGAAGAGAGGCTTTTCTTTTGTGACTATCTCTCCCTTGGCGTTCCTCACACAATCATGGAGGTGCTGAACCAGTTGATCTTATTCCTTGTCAATGTTATCAACGATGGCATCTTCCCATGTTGCAGCAATAGTGCCAAAGAGCTCCCAGTTAGTGGTCGTTCTGGGACTTCTCTTCTTAAACTTTGTAGCCCTTTCTCCCTACTCTGTGAAGTAGAATTTTGCATGAAGGAGATGGCGGTCTGATCCCGTTTGGAATTTTGGGACAACAGCGACACTGGTCAGGCAAAATCATTGACGGAATATGCTGTGGTCAATTTCGTTGTGGAACCGTCCACAGGGAGACTCCCATGTTCAATGTTTAGATTCAGCCTTCTGGAACTGTGAGTTACCATGGATGGTCTTGGTCGACATGATGAACTCAGACAGTCTCTCACCCTGTTCGTTCCATTTTAGGCAATGGGTCCCAATGTGGAGCTCTTCAGCTGATCTTCTCGGTCCTATCTTGGCATTAAAGTCACCGACAATAATCTTGGAGAAGGTGTGGTCTTCTTTATAGAACTTCTCCAGCTCCGTATAGAACTTCTCAATTTCTCCTTCATCATAATTGGATATTGATGCATAGACAACGAAGATAGAAACTGCCAGTAGTGAGCCACATCTATTCAAGTGCAATCATCCGATTCGGGTTGTTAGGCATTCGAATGAATCAACTTGCTCATGGCCAAGTTCGTGTTGATAAGGACACTGATGCCTCCAGCGCCTCTTTCGTCGCATGTTCCAAGGAACAGTTCTTCTCCAGTGTCGAAAACAGCGTATGTGATTGATGCCTTCTTGTCTCAGTCAGACCAATGATGTCGTACTTGATCTTCCGCGCTTGTACAATCAGGTCCTCGATGGATACATCTGATGCCTGTGTACGTGCATTGAAAGTACAGATAATCATTTTTGTCTTTCTTTGTTTGGGCAGCCTAGTTCGGCCTTGAAATTTTATCAGCCTCTTCTTCCTCATCCTTCTCAATGTTGCTGTGTTGGTGACTCCTTCAAGGTCAGGGGAATGAGACTCATTGTAATTACTAGTTTAGGCATATTGAATACGCAACAGATAGCTTGCCAGGCTCTGCTGTGTGGGCAGAAATACTAGAGCCATTACTGACTGGATTCCACAGGATATCAAAAGACCATGTGGCCGCCCACCTACAAGATGGTCAGACTTCTTTGTCAAGACCCTGAATGATCAGTTTGAGGCTTTTCGCATTCCTAGAACAGACACCATTGGGCTACAGTAGCACATGACAGGGACGAATGGAGACATTACTGGTGCCCACTTGAGCAAATCAATGATTAATGGGAAATCAAGTGATCAAGTATTATTCTTTCACTTTCTTTGCTTCCCAAGCGTTGCTCAAGTAGTTCGGGGGCCCCATCCTAGGACGTTGATTCTTAGTCAACCAAGTAGCAGGCCAATGTGCAAAGGTTCTAGGGCTCTGTGGTACCAGGGACAGCCAGGGCCGTCCTGGCAGTACTCAGGGCTCCAGAGCTACACCCAGTGATTCTCAGGAGCTATGCGGTGCCGGGAATGGAACGGGTGGAGGGGGGAAGTGGATCTTTGTGCCCTGCATACCCTCACCCATGTACTATCTCTTGGCCCTGGGCTATTGCTGACTCTTATCATTTGTGTCCAGGAGAAAAATTAAACTCTTGTACTGAAAAAATTCTCTCTTCCTTGAAGTCATCACACCATTTCCACCAAACAGAAAAAGTAAACATTAGGGCAAAATCAAATACTAATAAATACTATTAAAAGGGAACTAAATGGGGTATGGTGCCGCCAGCAGCTCAATCTGTACCTGTGAGGTGAGTGCATCAGCAGCCTGATAGCACCTTCAGACTTCTAAATACCTCAAAACTGCTGCTGTCCCTTTGATCAGACCCCAACAACTTGGAGCCAAGTTTACCAAAAATGTAAACAGCCAAAAACTAGGTACGTGGTAGACACACCCACAAACCACCTCCAGCTCAGCTATATAACTGAAGGCAAGGCCTCTCTGGTTCCTGATCAAACTGCTTAATGGCCATCACCCCAGAGTCTCAGAAACAAATCTTGGAACCCAGCAGCTTTTGGCAGAAATGTGTCTGGTCCCTGCAGCTGGTTACTGGCACCGGGTCACCCCAGGGAGGAAAGGGTGCCATCCCTCCGCCTGCTCCCGCTTGGCTGCTCGGTGGCTGCCATCCTCCAGAGGCCATTGGACAGTCAGGTTTGGGCCCACAGTGACGAGACACGCAGGGTCTCATGGGATGAGGTGGAGCCGGCCCTTTCTTCCCCGCCCTGAGACCCTGCGTAGTCACTCATGAATGGCCTCTCTGGCTCCTGATGAAGCTGCTTAATGGTCATGATCCAAGAGACTCAGGAACAAATCTCAGAACCCAGCAGGTTTTGGCAGAAATCCCTCCAGATTTAATTGTTAAAATTTTGGAACTTCAAAATCACATGGTCACTACTGCAGCCGTGTGACATCTTATGTTATTCATAACCAGCAATAGAAAACAAATTGTCTACGGTTGCATTTTCAGCAGATCTGAGTGTTGGGGCAAAATCCCAAATAATAATGGTGAGGCTGGTGTCAAAAAATATTGAATGTAATCAAAGTAGAGAAAGAGTAATATGGAAATCACTTGCCCCACAGGTGGAGGGTGTGGGATGGGGGGTATACTGGGGTTTTTGGTGGTGGAAAATGGGCACTGGTGAAGGGACGGGTGTTTTATCATTGTATGACCGAGACTTAAACCCAAAAGCTTTGTAACTGCTCTCACAGTAATTCAATAAATAAATTTATAAAAAAGAAAAAAATAAGAAAAATTGACCCAATAAATAAATAAATAAATAAATAAATGGGAACTAAACACAGAGCAAAGGCTTACAATTAAACAAGAAGAGTAAAGTCAGAAGAAGAAGTGCTAGAGGTGTGCTGAGACACAGATCTTCTGTTCTCAGTTATGAGCCAGGCTCAGGGAGACCAAACCATTCACAGTCCCTGGGCTACTACTTCCACTGCCTTCTGATTCTCCTCTAGAAAGTTCTAAGTGGGCAACTGCTACTCTGCTATTCATAACTCTTCGTTATTCCAACCTGAACATCAGACCTGGCTTGACTGTATAATTTACTAATGGAATGTAGCGACTTGGTGCTTAGACTTTAGAAATCCTGAAAATGAAGGTAGAACTCTCTCAGCTTCAACACTGAAGCCGGTGGCCAAACTTCCATAGTTAGTCATGAAAGATGCCCATCCTTACCTACTGACAGTAAGTTGCTATAATTCTCCAGCATCACGTCCATGTATAGGATCTTCTGAGCGGGGTCCAGCTGCTCCCACTCCTCCTGGGTGAAATCCACTGTTACATCCGTAAAAGAAACAGATCCCTGAAAATGACAGATTGCTAATAATTTGGAAATGATCAACATTTGAGGGACATGTGACTTAAAAAAAAGATTCTTGCCATGGGCTGTGGAAGTAATTTGCCATGAAAATTTACATAACATCAAATGTATATAGTGTCCACTATGCTTTGTCATGTTGCCAATACATTTTTTTGTAAATAAAGCATTTATTCAGATGCACCTATTTCTATAGCACATCCTATGTGCCTGGTAACTATGATCAATAAAATGCTTTTTCCTCTCTTATGATATATACAAGGAGAAAGTAAATAAAAAATATAGTGTATACAGGGGGCAGAGAGATTGTACAGCAGGTAAGGCACTTGCTTAGCATGCAGTCAGCTGAAGTTTGATCCCCAGCATCCCATATGGTCCCCAGAGCAGTGCCAGGAGTGATCCCTGAGAGAGAACAGGAGCAAGCTCTGAGAATAGCCCAAAAACAAACAAACAAAACAAAACAAAAAAGCACTGTGTTTGGGAGAAAATACAAATCTTGATTAATTAAGAATTATAATTAAAACAAAATGGCATGTTTAATAAAACATTAAGACCTCCAGAAAAGTTCCTTGTACACAAAAGTTTTCCATAGACAAACTTAAATAACAAAGTCCTGAAAATAAAGGCACAAGAAACAATTTAGCAGAACATACATATAGAAAAACACACAAAGGCCTGAAAATAATAATACCCGACCTCCCTCTACCCTCCAGTCTATAAATTTCAGTAATGTATGCAAAAGTATTCAAAAGAGGACTGGGTATGGGAACTGGAGAGATAGCACAGCGGGTAGGGCATTTGCCTTGCACGCGGCTGACCCGGGTTCGATTCCCAGCATCCCATATGGTTCCCTGAGCACGGCCAGGAGTAACTCCCGAGTGCATCGCCAGGTGTGACCCAAAAAGCAAAAAAAAAAAAAAAAAAAAAAAAAAAAAGAGGACCGGGTATATCTACACAAAACTTTTTTTGGCTCTCTCTAAGTGAAGAAAATGTTGTGTGTTTTTTTTAGTAGCATTGAGGGAACTTAAAATGAAGAACAGCAAGTGAGGGAGCACACCATGATGGAGGAAGACATGCACTTGGGTCTGAACTAAGTAATGGTATTGCCTGGGCCTCATTGTGCTTGAGGGCCTCCAGGACAGTATCCAGTGATGCTGAGGGGGAACCCTGTGTTGCCAAGAACCATGCGCTGATCAGCTGCATGCTTTGCATGAGTCTAACACCTGTCCTATCTATCTGGTCCTAACAATCACTATTTTGATACACAAAAGGGTGTTTAGAAAAAACAAACAGAAAAACATATTGATACTGGTGCCATGATTTATATTCATTAAACCACACTCAAGTGTAAACCACCAGCAGTACGAGCCAGCACAAATAAGTTAAAGATGGCAATTTTATATAATTCAACCTACTCTTATTTGTATTTCTGTGCATTTTTATACTCCACAAAATCAAATAAAATATTTTATTATTTGTGGCTTTTTTTTCTTTTTGGGTCACACCTGGCAATGCACAGGGGTTACTCCTGGCTCTGCACTTGGGAATTACTCCTGGCAGTATTCAGGGGACCATATGGGATGCTGGGAATCGAACCCAGGTTGGCTGCATGCAAGGCAAACACCCTACCTTCTGTGTTACTGCTCCAGCCCCTGTATTTGTGGTTTTTAAGAGATGTATAATAGCCATATTTAGAGAAATTTGCTGAGAGAAATGTGAGGGCAGAAAGAGACACATGTTTAAGAGCAAACCTGGGCTTCTCTAAAGAGGAAAAGCTGAGAGGAGATAGCTCAGGTCAAGATAAGGGCACATCCTCATAGTGGAGAAAGCACCTAAAAAAAGATTTTAAAGGGGCAGGGAGAAGCAAACCAATGAACTTCCAGGCATAAAGGAGGAAAAGTAAATAATCAGAAAATGTAAAAGCACTCAGTACAAAGGGTGTAGTACACATTGCAGGAAAGAAATTAAACAGCTCATGTTCTGACAAGCAGACAGGTCTTTGGACTTCTTTTTGTTTTGTTTTTTTTTTGAGTCAAAAGATTTTAATATTTATTTCTTTACACTTTAACAGGATTATATAAGGGGTTTTTTGTAAAGTTCTTATTATCTTCTCAGAAACTATCTTATGAAAGTTTAAAAAGTTTTTTTTTTTTTGCTTTTTGGGTCACATCCAGCGATGCTCAGGGGTTACTCCTGGCTCATGCACTCAGGAATCACTCCTGGCGGTGCTCGGGGGACCATATGGGATGCTGGGAATCGAACCTGTGTCAGCCATGTTGGCTGCGTGAAAGGCAAATGCCCTACCCGCTGTGCTATCTATCGCTCCAGCCACAAAAATTAATTAATTTTTTTATTGAATCACCATGAGATACACAATTACAGTTATTTATGATTAGTTTTCAGTCATACAATGTTCCAACAACTGTCCCTTCACCAGAGTACATTTCCCACCACCAATGTCCCTAGTTCTCTCTCTCTCTCTCTCTCTCTCTCTCTCTCTCTCTCTCTCGCTTGCAATATAGGTGCTGAAAGGTTATCATGTATATCCTTTTATCTATTTTCAGCACTTAGTTCTTGTCTAGAGTGATCATTGCTCTTGGACTTCTTAACTAAGATGCAATGACCTAAAATGACCTAAAGATCCTGGGAAAGGATAACAAAAACTGGGTAAAACAATCAAACAACAGTTTGTTAGCACCAACTACTGCAGGGACTCAATCACTAAAGGACATACAAAAGAGGCCCCCCACCTAGTGATAAAAGAGCAAAAAGGGAATAAATACTGGGGTCTGGAGCAACAGGAAGGCTGCAAAGGCACTTGCCTTACACAAGGTCAACCCAGGTCCAACCCCAGCACCCCTTATGGTCCCCAAACCCACCAGAAGTAAGCGTGGAGCACTGTTGTGTGTAAATAAACAAAACAAAACAAGAAAAGAAAGGAAGTATTGATCTTGACTAGTATATCCAATAAAAATGTCCCTAAGGAAATTTTCCAAACCACGGCACAGAAAAGAGCCCAACCAAGAGAAGTGGCACCTGCTTTCGGGCACCTGCCTCGCAAGCACATGGCCACAAGTGTCAAATCCCTGAGTGCCACCTGCATGGAGCATAATCTCGGCAGCTCTGCCATCTGAGCTCGCAGCCTTGCTGTTTGCGACCTCTGGCACAGTCTTTCCCAGTCATACTGCAGCCGAGTGTGAACATCATGGAAGGGGTGCGACACTTGGCGAGCACCCCAGCTGAAAAGATGTATGACAGCTGGAAAAGGCAAGCCCGGTGAGCGTGTATGTGAGAACCACAGTCAAGTCCCACACTAAGTGAGGAGCTCCGGCTAAGAGTGTGACACCTGCTGAGCCCAGACACAAGCTACAGGAGTCCAAAGCTCAGCGAGCACTGCAGCTGAGTGTGCCAGCACCTCAACCTTGTGTGTGGCCCCTAAGAACACCACAATGGAAATGTGTCATCAACACAGCGGGCATGTGTGCTACCCCTAGTCAGCACAACAGTAACACCAACAAGGATGACACAAAAGAATGGGAGAGGGAAGAGGACAGACAGCTTAAACCTTGGCAGCACATGGTTCCCCAAGAACCACCAGAGTGGATCTGCCCCTCCACAGGACCTGTGATGGGAAAGTGGCTCAGAGCACCTGCCTCTCATGAATGAGGCCTTGGTCTTGGGTCAGATACCTGGCACTGAAAAGAGAATGTAAGAAAGAATCAGACAAGAAGTACTATCATAGTATAAAGATACATACAAAGCGGGGCTGGAGCGATAGCACAGCGGGTAGGGCGTTTGCCTTGCATGCAGCCAACATGGCCGATACAGGTTCGATTCCCAGCATCCCATATGGTCCCCCAAGCACCGCCAGGAGTGTCTCCTGAGTGAGCCAGGAGTAACGCCTGAGCATCGCTGGGTGTGACCCAAAAAGCAAAAAAAAAAAAAAAAAAAAGATACATACAAGGGGGTGGAGTAACGGTACAGCAGGCAGGGCGTTTGCTTTGCATGTAGCTGATGTGGGTGTGATCCCTCAGGCACTGCCAGGAGTAATTCCTGAGTGCGGAGCCAGGAATAATCCCTGAGCATCACTGGGTCTGACCCAAAGACAAAAACAAAATGGTAGATGTACCTGATCTGAAGAAGTCAGTAAAACAAAATTAATCCAAAAAGACTTAAAACCACACACAGCAGAAGAAAATTCTGAGAAAGAATGAGATTGCAGGATCAGATTCTCTACTGATATCAAATTGTTATTTAGATTGGAACAGGGTGACTCAAAAGCAGAAATGTGACTGTCACCAGTGAGACACTGACTGCCATGATACCATTTTCGGCCAGAGGGCAGAATATCTAGGTAAGGCTAGCACAGACTGCTATGAGTGCCTGGCTGGCTTGTAGGAGAATGCGCTGATGAGATCTCCCTTCTCACTATGCTGCCTTAGACCAGATAAGCACTTTCATCTCATCTCATCTCATTTCACAGATGTCCTCTGCTTCCATCTACTCCTGACTTGACAGTTGACCTAAGACCTAAAAGGAAATAGAGAGGCCACAGTACAGCGGGTAGTATTTGCCTTGCACATGGCCAAACCAGGTTTGATCCCCAGCACCCCATATGGTCCCCTGAGCACTGCTAGGAGTGACCCACAAAGAGTAAGCCCGTAAGCCCTGAGAACATCTGGGTATACCGTCCCACCAAAAAGGAAGAAAAGAGCAGCCCATCAACTCACCAGACATTTAACACCTGATCCATGCTTTAACTCTGTCAGATGGTACAACCACTCAGCCCTTTAGTTTTGTTTCTCATGACCTTGCAAAGTAAGTAATTCAGTTGGGATTTCTGTAAGCTCTCAGAAAAGATGAAGCCAGACAGACCCGAAAACTAATTTATGCCCTCCTAAGGGAGGTTGTCTGGTATTAACAAAATTTCTATGAACAATTTGTTTGTCCTTCCTCCCCTGTTGGGGCTGGACTGAGCTGTCAGGGTAAGCCCATACAGAATGTACCGCACAACGGGCAGGAACATAGGGACCCATGAAAATGGGTGAGATTTCTCGTGTGTCCTGACTAGTTTGTATGAGGCTGACCGGTTTTTCCCCTTCAAAAGGCCTTCAGTAAATAATTTCAGTATACTGTAAGGGGCAGTTTTCCGTTTCTCACAGAAACCTGGCTGGCCTTTGGACATGCAGATCTCAGGTGCTAGCCAGGCCAGATCTTCGGGATGCAGATTCCAGGCTCTAGCCAGAACTAGTCTTTGGGATGCAAATCCAAACACTTGTAGCCCATGGGAGGTTCAGTTTTGGTTTTGTATCTTCTTTCCAGAGGCCAAAATTACTGGGCTACTGACTCAAGGAAACAATGTATGTTTTGCTACCTCAATGTTCTTTCTGTAACTCCTTTTGATGAAGTCAATGCTTTGTGCCCTTTAGAGGTACCATGATCAATAAAAGGAGATTTCGGGGCTCTCTACCTTTGTCAGAGTACTGAGAGAACCCGGGCCCTTCATGACATAAATTTCTTTCGCATTCCTTGTCTCAGTGCCTCCAACTGAACGAATATTCACGCAACACTCCTCCCCAGGCAGTACTGGTTATATTATCAGCAGCAATATGAGTGCCTTCACCTCTTCTTAGTTAACACTGGTTACTTACAATGCCTTAAAAACCTGTCAGGCTGAAAAACAAAACAAAACAAAACAAAACAAAAACAACCTGTCAGGCTGAAGAGATGGTACAAAGGTTAAAGACTTTTGCCTTGCATGTGGCTGATTCCAGTACCACATATTTGGTTCCTGAAGGATGACAAGAGTGATCCCTGAGCACAGAGAAAGCTCTGGGCACTGCCAGGTGTGGCCCCCAAATAAACACAAGACCTTAACAAAAACCTCACTAAAGAATGCATACAGTTGGCAAATAAGGGTCTGAGAAATGAATTAAGAGGTTGGAGCAAATGCTTTGTATGTAGGAGCCCCTTGTTCCACTCTGGCATGAACAGTCAACCAGCCCTATTGGGGAGATCTCCATGTACTGAGCTGGGGGTAGGCCCCAAGCACTGCTGGGTAAGGTAAAAAAACAAAAAAGAGGCCCAAATAAATAAATGAGAAACACATGAAAAGACACAGGATACCACATTATAAGGAAGCTGTATATATAATGAGGTACTGCTACACATTTATTGGAATGGACAAAGTATGCTACACTGGAAACACTAAAAGCTGACAAGGATGTGAAACAGGATACATTCTTTGCTGGTAGAAACACAAAATGGCTAAGTCATTTTAGAATATGGTGTTATAGTTTCTTAAATTTTGAAATTTAAAAAATAGAGACGCATATCTTAAATGTAAGAAATTAATCTGAAAAGACTACACTATGTAGGTCCAACTCTCTGACGTCCTAGAAACTGCAAAACTATAGATAGCGAAAAAATCAGCTGAACATAGGAGAGGAATAAATAGGTAAACAAGACACACAGAATTTTTGGGTCAGTGAAACAATTCTGGGGCTGGAGCGAGATAGCACAGCAGGTAGGGCGTTTGCCTTGCATGCAGCCAACCAGTGTTTGATTCCCAGCATCCCTTATGGTCCCCCGAGCACCACCAGGAGTAATTCCTGAGTGCATGAATGAGCCAGGAGTGACCCCTGTGCATCACCTGGTGTGACCCAAAAACCAAAAAATAAATTAAAAAAAAAAAAAGAAACAATTTTATATACTGTAATGGTGTGATATATGTCATTGTATGTTTGCATAGCCTATAGAAAGTACAACATTAAGAATAAAATGTAGGGGCTGGAGCAATAGCACAGAGGGTAGGGTGTTTGCCTTGCATGCAGCCAACCCGGGTTCAATTCCCAGCATCCCATATGGTCCCCTGAGCACCGCCAGGAGTAATTCCTGAGTGCAAAGCCAGGAGTAACCCCTGTGCATTGCTGGGTGTGACCCATTAAAAAGAGGTAAAAAAAAAAAAAAAGAATAAAATCTAAAAAAAAAAAAATGGAACTTAATTTAAACTATAGACTTTAGTAAAAGTA